ATTTGGATTTTGCCAAGGCATTTGATACAGTTCCACACAATAGATTAGTGTTCAAACTCAAGGAAATCGGTCTAGATGAAAATGCTTGTTCTTGGGTAGAACATTGGCTTAAAAACAGAGTACAAAGAGCTGTCATTAATGGTAAATTTTCAAGCTGGACAGAGGTGGCAAGTGGTGTCCCTCAGGGGTCTGTTCTGGGACCCCTTCTATTTAACATGTTTAGAAATGATCTTGAAGACAGCATTGAAAGTCATGTTTCAGTGTTTGCAGATGACACAAAACTTTGTAAAATAATACAATGTGTGCAAGCTATTACTTTGCTGCAGAGGGATTTAGATAGACTGGGGGACTGGGCACTCAAATGGCAGATGAAATTTAATGTTGAAAATTGCAAACTTATGCACTTCGGCGTAAAGAATACACAAGCAACGTATACCCTTAATGGAAGCGAATTAGGGATAACAACACACGAAAAGCACTTGGGAATTGTTATAGACAACAAACTATGCAACAATGTGCAATGTCAATCAGCAGTGGCCAAGGCCAGTAAGGTATTGTCATGCATGAAAAAGGGCATTCATTCTCGGGACGAGAATATCATTTTGCCTCTTTATAAATCACTGGTAAGACCCCATATTGAATATACTGTGCAATTTTGGGCACCTGTTCTATTATGGCACTAGAAAAAGTGCAGAGGCGGGCTACAAAATTAATAAAAGGAATGGAACATATCAGCTATGAAGAAAGGTTAACAAATTTAAACCTATTTAGTTTCGAAAAACGTTGCCTGAGAGTGGATATGATAACATTATACAAATATATTCGGGGCCAATACAAACCATTGTGTGGAAATCTATTCACAAACCGGACTTTACATAGGACACAAAGCCATGTGTTTAGACTGGAAGAAAGAAGATTTCGTCTAAGGCAAAGGAAAGGTTTTTTTTTCTGTAAGAACAATCAGGATGTGGAATTCTCTGCCTGAAGAAGTGGTTTTATCAGAGTCCATACAGATGTTCAAACAGCTACTAGATGCATACTTGCAAAAACAGAATATTCAAGGATATAATCTTTCAATGTAGGGTAATAACTGCTTGATCCAAGCATAAATCTGACTCCATTCTGGGGTCACAAAGGAAATTTTTTCCTAGCTTGTTGCAAAATTGTGCTTCAAACTGGTTTTTTTGCCTTCTTTTGGATCAACACCAAAAAACAAATGTGAGGAAGGCTGAACTTGATGGATGCAAGTCTCTTTTCAGCTATGTAACTATGTAATTAGGCCCAGTATAGCAGATCCATTACAGGCTGCCTCAAGAAACTGGAATGAGGAGGAGTTTCACAGCCCTGTAGTATATCTGATATGCATTATGATTGGATTCATTTTGTTTACTTATTTTAATTGTTTCTTTGCTGTTGAGAGGATTCTGTAAAGCAAATATCTGTCTTAATATAAAATTTAGATTATTCAGTCACTGAAGCTAGAATAATCCCTACCGTATATACTTGTGTATAAGTCGAGAAATTTTTGTTGTAAACTTCATGTAAAAATGCAGAGACGACTTATACACAGGTCAGTGCGGGTTTCAATAGAATTCATAGAGTAGTAATTACTCTATGATGTGTCCGAGCTGTGAATTGTGGGAACCACGAGGGAGCATGATAAAGAGACAGAGAGAACAGCCCATTTCTGTCATTTCCAGTCTCCCATAGCTCCAGGCAAGGTCAGCCTCAGGGGGTAGTGAAGGGGAGAAGGAGACAGGGGAAATAGAGAGACACAAGAGGAAGGGGGGAGAAAGAGACAGAGGGGGAAGACAAAGATTGGGGGAAATACAGGGGGTGAAGATAGACACATAGAGGGAGTTACAGTTCATAAATGAAATGTTCCTGTTCATAATTGCTCATTTTTTAATCCAGTTTTTAGCTGACATGTTTGATTGTTCCAGGATCTTTACCTAGGTAAAATCTGACAAAATTATAAAAACTTATCCACGAGTCATAGCATATTTCACAATTGTTGGTCAAAAAACTGCACTCAACTTATAGACAAGATTGACTTATAGACGAGTATATACAATAATTGCTGAGAATTCAAAAATGTTAAGTAAATTTAACATTTTAGGCCAAAATAGCCAAACTGTGTATATAGCTAACTTTATTTGTTGTGGCCTAAAATTAGAAATACATTAAAAATTTGAACTCCTGAAATTTCACACCCTACTTAATGATCCTGCTAGTAAAGAAGTTTAAAGGACCTCTATAGGCACCCAGACCACTTCAGCTTAATGAAGTGGTCTGGGTGTCAGGTCCCTCTAGGGTTAACCCTGCCTGCTGTAAACATAGCAGTTTCAGAGAAACTGCTATGTTTACATTAGAGTTAATCCAGCATCTAGTGGCTGTCTCATTGCGCTTCTCACTATGATTTTCACAGTGAGAAGACGCCAGCGTCTATAGGAAAGCATTGAGAAATGCTTTCCTATGGACTGACTGAATGCGTGCGCAGTTCTTGCCACGCATGCGCATTCAGCCGATGACGTCGGACGGAGGAGGAGAGTCCCCAACGCCGAGGGAGCCCGGCGCTGGAGAAAGGTAAGATTTTAACCCTTTCCTCCCACTTCAGCCCAGCGGGAGGGGTACCCTGAGGGAGGGGGGGACCTATTAACACTATAGTGCCAGGAAAACGAGACATGAAGAACAACTGTCAAATCAAAAAAAAATTTGATATAATAATCCTTTCATCAAGTTTTGAAAGGAAATCAAAACATTTATATGAAGTATGTGTAAAAAAATACACATAATGAAAAAAATATCTAAGCACTGTATGGGAAGCTCTGTGCCATGTTATAGCAGCATATGACTGTACAGTCTCTGCATTCCTCAGATCCCATGTCACAGATTCAAACAAGATGCAGGTGAATATAAATGAGATTTTCAACAAACTGAATGAGAACCTGTATACCCCAAAGGTAAATAATGTTGTAGAGGAATGCACTAGTAATGGTAAGAACCTCTGGACCTATGGGAAAAGGATCCTGGCTACTTCATTTGAATGTTAACAACTTGACACACGTATCACACGGTATCACATTGCTACCTTGTTAGGGCAAATTCATATTTCCACCCTTCTAGATTGGAAGCTTATTTTTACCAATACAAATTTACTTCTAGATTGTAAGCTCTTTTAACAATACTTGATATTACCACATTATGTCTGTGTTAAAGATCTGTGATAACAACTGCAACCAACGTTGGATCAAGTTGTGAGCTTGGTAACATTTTATAATTTTTCCTACTGTAGTGTCTATGGTGCCATGAGTGTCTACCCTATTTGGATGAAATTCATTGTCTGAGAGGAAGCAATTGTATACCATTCAAACACATGTAGTTTTGACTTCCACATTATCTATCGGAGAAGAGAAGGCAGGACAGGAGGCCCCCGGGGACCCACTTAGGTCTGAAACTGTTTGAAAATCGGGTAGTGGTTATGGTGTCTACACTGTCCTGTTAACTAAGTGGGGCATTCCATTTCTGGATCTTCAAAAGCTACTTTGTAACGGCATAATATAATTTTATTAGTCCTTAAAGGGATTCTCCAGTACCAGGAAAATATATTAGTTTTCATGGCACTGCAGGACCCTGTAGTGCCCCTTTCCCTCCACCCCCCATCCCAAGTTGCTGAAGGTGTTAAAACCCCTTCAGTATCTTACCGCAGTCCAGCGCCGATGTCCCTCGGTGCTGGTCAGGCTCCAGCCGGCGTGGCAATGGCCACGCACACGAATTAGACCTCCCCAAAGGAAAGCATTATTCAATAATTTCCTATGGGGTTTTCGGCGACGCTGGAGGTCCTCACATAGCGTGAGGACATCCAGCGTTGCTTAAAACACTTTTCGTGTTCTAAGAACATGGAAGTCTCTCTAGTGGCTGTGTGATAGACAGCTACTAGAAGAGGACTTAACCCTGCAAGGTAAACATTGCAGTTTATGAAAACTGCAATAATTACACTTGCATGGTTAAAGGTGATGGGAGTTGGCACCCAGACAACTCCAATGGGCAGAAGTGGTGTGGGTGCCTGGAGTATCCCTTTAAGGGCTTTATAGAGCAGTGGTGCTATAGAAATAATAATGAAAACAAATTGTAAAAAAAGTTTAACCCCTTAAGGACACGACATGTGTGACATGTCATGATTCCATTTTATTCCAGAAGTTTGGTCCTTAAGGGGTTAACCAGTATTACAACATACACACTTCCTACTGCCTTTGTCTTAAAAGGTGTATCTAAAGCATCTTCCGTCAGACCCTGCATGTGACTTGTTTGTGTCTTGTCTGAGAAAATTCTATTCACAGAAAACAGACTATTGCAGTAAGTGTAGAAATTGGAGATAAGATTTGTGTTATATTGTACATGTCAAGGCATGTCTAACCCTGTGTTAAGGATGCTCAGTGCAAGGCCATCAAAGTGAAACTGCTTTATGGGGTCAAATGTAACCTCAATACTCTTTTCTACCTTTCATTCTGTATTTATAAAAAAAAAAAAAAAAAGCCAGATACAATAGTGATCACCCCAATTGTACCAACAACTCTGAAATATCATGTTAAACATGAAGAAAATCCAAAAGCAAATATAGTGTGGTGTAACAAAATATCTTATCGCTGTAATATAAATACATATTAGTGTTAAAACACAAGTGAAATTGTAATATAAGGAGGATAAAAGTGTTTACTTCTACTATGGATCGTTACAACACATGTAGCATCACAGAGATCCAAATGTAAAGTAGCAATTCTTTTCTATCTTTAATCATTTAAAATACATAAAATGTCTTATAGGATGGGCAGAGCTTAGGTAAAGAGATGGACGAACGCCATTCCTGAGAGCTCCGGCGCTAAGAATCGAAATCGGCTAAATTACTCAAATAAAACACAATATCTAGATGCCATCCCAGCATATACCGTTCCCTAACATGGTGTAGAATCGCCAGATACATTCCCTTTACCCTCCAACAGCGAAATGCCCACGCCAATGGATTAAGGCCTTTCACGCCCCTCAGCCGTCTATAACCTCCGTGCTGCCACCCAGCCTGTCATTGGAGGAACTGCTCTACTATTCGACTGAAAGACCGGCCCAGGTCCAGAGCACACACAGCATGGGCTGCCGATCACCAGAAACAACCTCCGGCTGGAGTAAATAACAACCGCGATATGGGCACCATGTTTTAACACCTTGTAACTCACAAAATGGCCGCCCAAGCGAAAGGTGAGGCCTGCACGCCAATGTTCAGACAAACAGTGGAGAAGCTGGCTCCTGCTCCCCTAGAAAGGCTAAATGCACCAGCAGAGACCCCTGAAGAGGACCCTTATACGCCTTCCACAAAAGAAGACATTGCCAACCTGCTACAAAATATTAAGTAATTGTTTGCAGCTGACCTTGACCTTGTTAAAGTAGATGTCCAAGCAGTGACAGCTAGAACTCAGGCCTCTGAGAAGGATATTATTGATCTGCACCAAGAGGTCTCTAAAATAAGAGAATCCATGCAACAAATTCAGAAAACTCAAACCTCCTTAGCCCTGAGAGCTGACATTCTTGATAAGCGAAGCGGCAGTGCTAACATAAAGATTAGGGGCATTCCAGACGTGGTCCTGCCTGATGAGTTACCGCACTATCTGAGATGCCTGGTAGCCTCACTGATGCTGGCAATGCAGGCCAAAAAGATTGTTTTTGACGGCTGCTTTTGTATCAACAAATCCCCGAAAGCTCCTGCAGCGGCTCCACATGACGTGATATTACGATGCCAAACGCTCCTCGATAAAGGCCGCATCTGGTCGGCATTAAAGGGAAAAACACCCTACACCTTCTAATCATCCACACTCACCTTTTACCAGGACTTGCACTGGTCTACTCTCCAATGGAGGTGTTCCATGGGTCCAGTAGCTCGCCAACTCCGTGCCGCAGCGTTCACTTACAGATGGTCGACTCCAAGATCCTTGAGTGTGGAGAAGAACGTAGCGACATACCAGTTATCCTCAACAGCTCAGGCCCCGGCATTTTCCCAAGCCATAGGCATTCAGACTGGGCAAACCAGGCTGCCTGCCTCCCGTAAACCACATGATTGGGACCCAGACCGTATAAGCCCATTTGTGCCAAGGAGTGGCGAAAGGCCAAGCCCAGTAACCTAAACTTTGACAGGGAGCAGCTGATTCAAATGTTCTTTTATCTTTGATCTTTTATCCTTAAGAGTTATGTTTTATTCGGTTGTCTTCTTTATTTTTTGATTCACCTGTTACTAACAAGTTTGTAACCAAATATGACGCCCATGAAACCATAGGGCGCTCACCTTTCCCATAGAGTGCACTCAGCGCTAAGAAGTTTCTCTCCTCCCCTCTCACCCCCAGGGATCCCCTAGGTTAGGGGTCATTCATTCAAGTGGAGTGTGGTTCACACCAACACATTGCTGCAAGAGTGATGCAGTGTTATATTGCCTTACTCCGATAATCCTAATCAGGAGCATATAATTTAACAGCACACTTCCTCGACTGACTATAGCCCCAGGCCCAGCGCACATACAAGGGTCTACATAAAAGTGGCGCGCCACAGATGTCTCAAGTTAAATATTTCTACACTAGACTCCACATAGTCACACTGAAGTACTACTCAACATTAACCTAACAAAAAATAGGCATACTCTACTCATTAGTGATTATGCAACAATAGGCTATTATCATTATCTCTGTCAACATGCAACAGACACATTGTTATCTTTAACTTGTACGCTTATACCTTGATGTATGTATACTTATTTCACCTTGATGTATGTATACATTGCAAATGCCTTAATAAAAAAGAAAATGACAAAAAAATGCCTTATAGTGTAAAAACATACAAAACAAATAAAATATATAAAAATATTATGCACTTAAAAACACAAGAACACTTAAAGTTGCCTAAAAGGCACAAGAACTTGCTGGCATTTCGGTTCTGGACTGCCCTTATTAGTGGTATTAGTCTGTTATGCATTGGAACCGGTTCTTTCTGTAATGTCACACGTGAACAAAAACTATTTTGAGACCTGAGCGGGGATTTACTGAAGGGCAAGCTCCTTATCCTAAGTTCTCATATTTTCTGTTTTTGTTTTACACGTACTTCCTATTGTGGGCAGTATATTTCCACTGAAAAGATGGCCACCGGGATTGCACATTTAGCTGAATATTGAGAATAATTTCCCGAAATCCAGCGTCATACTCATTTCTCAGGTGGTCTTATCCAGGTGGGCCACTTGTTTTAAGATGCTGTGATGTTACATTTGGTAGTGAACATCCATAGTAGGAGGTAGCACTTTTATCTTCCTTATACAGTATAACAATTTTACTAGTGTTTTTACACTAACATATATTTATATAACTGAGATATTTTGTTACACTACAATATTTGTGCTTTTTAATTTTTACATTCTGTATTTCTGACCCCACCCTCAGTCAGTGATAGCTGGCTGAGCATTAAAAAAATACACAGTGGTCTCGGGATGGTCCCAGTGCCCTGTATGTAGAGCAGGTGTGTTAACAATTTATTTGTTTTAGGACAGTCTAGAATATAACACTGTGGACTAAGGTCCAGCTGAGGTTAGTTGAGGTTAGTTGGAATTAGGAGGTGAGTGTAGAGAACACAGTTTAACAAGGAATGTAAACAGACACCAAACATGCTGAATGACAGGTACAGTAGGCAGACAGCAGATATGTTTACATTTTAGACCAGAGGGCTGGAAACCACAAATCCCTGAAACCCAAGGTATCATCACACATGTGACTTTATTGCCTAATGATAAAGTCAAGCCTGATGTAAAGATTAGGGCAGAATGACGTTGCCTAGACCAAATTCACAGATGTGAAAAACTGTGTGTGGACATGTCAAGGCTTGCAGCAACATGCCGGCCAGGCAGGAATGCAATGTAGGGACCTGCTGAGTAAACATTTAGGGTGTGAGTGGCCTTCTTGGCAGAAAATGATTAACACAATGTACAGTCATGGAAAATATTGTTTGGTCTTTTTAGATCTGACACCAAGATGTGGGAACTTTCTTCTTGCTGAATATTGTTCTATGAAGCAGACACTCTGCTAGTTCTAAGAATAGGACTGGACACAGAAGGGGAAATTCACACAGGGAGCTGTGAAAAGCCATTTTTTTTTCTGAAGCCTTTGTAGGAAAGGTGGGGTTGCATACTCCATTCTTATATGAATTTTACTGATATCCTATTCTCTTTAAAAATGACAACTTCAAAATGAAAGGATTACCATTAGAATGTTGTTTATTAGAAAAATTGAATTACAGCACAGAGTATAGCAGTGTCATTTTTAGTGTAACTCAACATCCATATGTAAGGAAACAATAGTGCATCCAATAACCAGCGTGGACACATTAGATGTCTCTAAATCACAACACTCATAGTCAGGCTGTGTCTGATTGAGACATGGATCTTGAGTACAGATACACAACAATCCTAGGCAGTATGAAGTATTGGAGCAGGTGGCAGAGCTACCCACTGTATTTTGCTGAAATGAAAAAATAAAAGTAAGCAAAGCAAACAGGCTCCTGTGATCTTTTCGATGACACTATTGTCTCCTTTATCCTGAAGTGATCAGAATAACAAAATTCACAAGTGTGGTCATTGTATTTGGCAGCTGGGTCAAATTAAAATCATTAGTGGCTATGCTTGGTGTAACGAGAGCGACAGTCATTCCCATCACATTAAGCTTAGCAAATAGGCAGACATGCTCACATAACCTAATAACGATGCTTAAAGAAATGGGCATTGCACGTGTAAGCCTGTTTAATGTAATGGGACTGAAGTCCACTCCCATCACAATAAGTGTAGCAATTAGGCATGCATTTCTCAAAGCCTAGTCACCGTACATACAGTGGAATGCTCAGGTGGGAGTCAGTTCCAAAGTCTAATGCCCCACAATATGAAAACTTAATCAGTCATCTTTGTTTACCAAACCCTAAAAACCCTATGTCAAATACCCCAGAATCCTAGTGGTAACTTAAAATAGGTGGTGCCATTATAAACAAAGCTGACGTGGCATTCACTCCAAGCTGACCTGCCTATTTTGTCTGTCCCCCGTTCTGTGCTGGTCCACCATCTTTGGGAAGCGCAAGTGACATGGTTCACACCACTGGCCCTTCCCTTTTACCTCACCCACCAGTTGTTGCAGGGAAGCAAGATGACATTATTTTGCTATACTTTAACATTATGTATCTTTTATATCACGTTTTTTTTTTTTTACTTTAACTTAAGACTAGGTTTCCCTTAAAGCGGCCCTGTCATGTTTCTTTTTTTCCTTCAGTTTTCCTTTCCTTATACCTGCTATATATTAATGTCCATACTCCCCTTCTTCTCACTTGCTTTTATTTACATTTGCATTTTCTTCTCATTTGCCCATGATGTCTGATGTTTGCCCTTCTGTGAGATTGATTTTACTGATGGATTTTGGATCTATTTGATTGGCAACTGAAACAGTATGTTGCTTTATGCTACTCCCATATAAAGAAAAGTAGTCCCTTGTGTATTTTATGAAAAGTGGAATGCTCAGCAAAATTAAGAAAAAATAAAAAAAGAGTTTCAGATACAGAGAGCTATAGACAAGCAGACTGGATAGTTTATTTCTAGTGACAGAACCGCTTTAAGCTTAGGATGCACCAGAACACACATGTTCCTGTCTGCCTGAGACTGATGAGCATATTGCTAATTCTGCAGGCACGTGAGATATTTTCTGTTAATTATTGTCTCCCCCACCTCTTTAAAAATATGCCATTGTGTTATAATAAGTCACTGTATGTTGCCTGCTATGAATTGACTGTTTGTAATTTTATTGAGTTTTCACAGCAATGTTAATGTAATGACCATATGGGCTGGTTCCAAGGAAAATAAAGTTTTAGACAGTTCTTCTTGACCCTCAACACATAGTCTTGTCTCAAGATTGGAGGGGACAGCTATAATCACACTGGGGATTGCTATGCTCTGCATACTCTCTTGAGATTTAATCACTTAGCTCTTTTAAATGCTGTTTCTGTTACGCTCTCCTGGAGGAGAGGTCTTCCCCACACAGTCCTGGGAGACAGAAGCTGATCCAAGGTGGATAGAAGATGGAGAGACTCCAGTTAAAGCTACGGCGGTTGTGGAGTCTGCGGTGGTTGTGG